TCAGCCAGGGCATCTAAAAAGGACACCCTGTATATTTCTATATTAGAAATATCGATTACTTTTTCCCTTACGAACACTCTTTGATTAAGGTATGGACGTAAAAAAGAAGAAAGCAAATTTAGTTGCTAATGCCAAGCTTTCGACCTATTTTAAGGTCATCATCAGTGCCAATATTACTTTCACATTATGAAAACCATATTTGTACAGTTGATTTAACAATCAATATAACTGTGTAGAACTTACAAAACAACAAAATTGGGCACTCTCAACACGACACCCAAGAAAGACTCATCTACAGAGAAAACAAACACTTTGAGCCTTGAAGATGATCTCAATGAAAATCGAAACGTTGGCACGATAAAGAAATGTTTTTCTAAAACCTACGTCACACCAAACCGCATCTCACGACTTCCAAATAATTACAAAACAACCTTAAATGACTACTGACTGACATATTTTTTTTACAACATTGCCTAGGCTGTATTGAAACCTTATTCCGGAGGTTCTCCTCTTTTTATCAAACATCTCTTTTTAAAATTAATAAAACGTTCATAAATTTAACTTAAACCCATAGTATCTGTTCGAATGTTACAATTATTACTTTACATTTTAGTATGTAGAACCTCTTTCATTCTTCTTCTGAATAATTGGGACTCTTTGTCAATTATTTCAACGTTCGACAAGTCAAATTTAGTCCGGTACCAGTTCTAGATTTATTGCCACAATCAGTACCATAAATTTAATTTTTTATTCTATGTTTTGTTTGACCAATGTATTTGGTTAGACATTCAGTATGCGAGAACCTTTTGCAACATTCGATAAATTCAATTTTTCTTCTTTATCCTTGAGTTTAGTATATAAAGGGCTCATTTTATTATTTGTAATTTGTAACAACAATTGACGTCGGGTATGTATTTCTTTATAACATTTTTTCATTTGGGCAAAATCACTGCGGTTACACTCTTGACCGTGAAAAGATTGTTCACATTTCTATAGTTTTTTCACCATTTATTAACTTCCTTGAATTAATATCTAGCAAACTATTAAGCAAACCTTTTTAAAAAGTCCACTATTTTTCGTGGTCCGCTTGACCAATTAATATCTTCAATTAATTAAAGTTTTAAGTTGAGATAAAAAAAGGATATATCCGCTTTTTAAAAAGGATTGAACACCGCATTCAGTCCATCAATAATTTCTTTGGCTATTGATCAGCCTTCTCAGTTTAAATATTTTACTTTCCAAAATGTAGGTTGGGATCCGTTATCCACACATGTATCTGTTCATATAGTAAAACGATTTTTTCGAGTTAGTAATTAAGAAAAATTTTCAAAATTGTATATTTGAAAATTTACTTATGTTAATTTGTTAATGATGCCCTAATGAAGGCGATATATTCTGCCGAAAGCTCGACAAGAAAATAAATGTTGTTTCTGTCTTCCTAGCCTCATCCCCAATCTACCTTTTAGAAAGAAAAATATTCAGTCCATCATTCATAATTTCTATCTATTAACCAATGTCTTTGAATAGTTGTTACTTCTTAAAATTCGGAAAGCTCGCTATTTTACTTCACTCGAGAAGCATGTGCTGCTTAGTGACAAAACACTATGCATCAAGTTATTGGCACAATTCAGTTTTGACCAAGAGAATTAGAAGAGATAACTGAAATATCTGTCAGAGCTGATTTCTTCTGTATACCATTTATGGATCAATGTACCCGTGGAATTATGATCACTTCCACATATAGATAAGGAGTATAACCACTATTTTCCTCTCCATATGTGAATTGTATTTTCTCAATAACTATTAAAAAGGTTAAGGAGATCTGAATTAATAGTTGGAAAAATGAGAAATAAGTCATGAACGTACTTACATATGAGCTTAATATTAGCTATTATTATTAATAATCTGTAGACATATTTAAGGCTGTTTTGTAAGTTCTATATAGTTATCTTGATTGGTAAATCAATTGTACAAATATGTTTTTCATAATGTGAAATTAATGCAGGCCCTGATGATGATGATCTTAAAAAAAATTAAAACGTTATGCCTAAAAATAACCATCCTAAAGAAAAATTTACCATAAATCTAAAATCGTATCAATGTACATGTAAATGTAGGGGTAAACGACGCAAGGCTGCTGTACAGATTACAGATCTGAATTATTTCCTTTGTTAAAGTCGTCAATGAAAAGCTTTTTCTACAAATGGGACAAAATCTGATTATATGACGTTTTACAATAAAAATATTTATTTATCTATCAAAATTTATGATTTTCCAAAATACACGATAAGTTTTGATCCAGAAAATATAAGAATATAAAAACTAAAACAAATGCAAGTAGTAATAAGTACAGTGGGCCGGGTCGTCCGAGAAGCTCTTCCTAGTTAAGGGCACGACTGAACGATGGCCCCATGAGAATCTGAAACGAAATGAAAGGATCGTGTTAACTCGGTTGATGATTGGCCATACCCGTCTGACACACGGACATCTGCTTTTGGATCAAAACCCGCGCAGGTGTCCCGCTTGTAGAGAAAGGTTGCTCAGTGTGTCTCATCTTGTCGAGGAGTGCCGTGCCTTGGCCGTATTTATTTACTACATTCTATTTTTTATTTTCCTCTCCATATGTGAATTGTATTTTCTATTAATAACTATTAAAAAGGTTAAGGAGATTGTCTAAATTATCCGTTGGAAAAATCAGAAATAAGTCATGAACGTACTTACATATGAGCTTAATATTAGCTATTATTATTAATAATCTGTAGACATATTTAAGGTTGTTTTATAAGTTCTATATAGCTATCTTGATTGGTAAATCAATTGTACAAATATGTTTTTCATAATGTGAAATTAAAGCCAGCCTTGATGATGATCTTAAAAAAAGTCGAAAACTTAGTAAGAACTGAATTTACTTTTTTCTTGAAGACCATACCTTGATCCAGAGTGTCGTACCCTGTATACCCCCATGTTATGTTAATTGTCCTATCACTCCTCTGATTCTGGCCATCTCCAACTGCAGAAGTGAGTTTGCCATTAAATGTTATGTATTCAATGTTAAACATTTTTGGTCATTGTCAATAAAACGTGATTTTACACCGGAGGATCTGATGCTTTTCTTAACTTCAATTAAAAGAAAACCGAGCCTGCGGCTTATTTTGGACAGGTTATAACTACCCGACATTCGTTGAAAATAGCTTGGCGTTTAAGCGGGTAGCTTAAAATTTAATGAAAATACTAATTTTATGTTAGTCAAAGCAACAGTTTATCAGGTGGAAATATTATTCAGCTATTAACAGAAGTAAATTAAATTTCCTCTGAGCTCCTCACGTTATTTAAGCCCTTTCCCTTATCAAATCCAGTGTAAAATTATGATCCCATAAATCGGCTCATTTTTACTCTCTAGGTTTATCAAAACTGTTAAGCAGCTTAGTCAGTTTCGCATAAATCTGCCCCCTTGAAGTTATTGCTGTATATAACGAAATCAACCTTGTTACTACCTCGATCAAATTGATCATTATTGTACTTGGCGTTCAATGCTGTTGTTATAAAGAACTGACGTAAAAATGTAAATCAAAGCCGAGTTAGTGCTTTTGCGCCCTCTTTCTTTCAACTTCTCCAACTTCGAAGCGCTTTATTTCAGCTATAAAAAATTGGCAACTCCCATTTACAAAATCCTTTCCCTCAAATATTTATCATATTACACTGTAGCAAACATTTTGAGCCAAGTTTTGAAATAATGGTATAACTTAAACGACAATTGTTTATCCCTGTTTCATATTTATGATTTACTTATCCGGTTTCCTTTTAAACGATATCATCCCGTTGAAAAAAAAAATTCTACAAATCCTAGGGAATAATCTGTAAACCATGCATGAACATATTGGGTTTTGAGCATCATAAAAATTTGTATATAAAGTTTAAGTTTGAAAGCGAAGCTTTTGATCGAGTTGGACACCTAGCATTCCTGTTTATGCTCAAGAGCATCCTTCTTTCTACTTGTCTAATATTTCTCGACTATTCACTGACCGCTTTTTCCGAGTCTCCGTAGGCAATTCCTTCTTTGCGTATTATCCAATCCATCTTGCCGATCCCCAGGGCAGCGTCCTGGCCCTTATACTGTTTCAAGTATACACAGCTGACATTCCATATAACACAACGACACAATTCCATATAACACAATTGCAGACGATAAAGTAATTCATTCTAGTAACATCGATTTTTCGAAACTTTCCGCCTCATAAAACACTGGTGAAATCTTGGTACAAGACAAAAAAGTTCAAAATTATATGCGGGAAATTATGCATGGACTTTTTTTATAATTTTTATTTATAGAATGATGTGCTAATACTATTAAACTTAGGTGTTAATTTAATAGTATATACTTAAGTAGTATTTTGAGTCTTTTAAACTTTATTGAATAATGCTGCTTATAAAATTTCTAATATTTAACGGCAAATATTAAAATTTAACGCTTTTCTAACTAAAATTTTTTTAAAAATAGCATACACACACAAAAACAGGGCTTTTACTGACATAGATAAATTGATTGGAATACGTTCATTGAGAAAGTGTTTGTTTGTGTTATCAGTAACGGCTTCACTGTTCAGCATAAAAAAATCAATCGATGGTGCTAAAAGCGACGTATTATTTATTACCCTTTTTCCTGCAATTATATTTTATTGTAACATCAATGTTAGCCTACCTGTCTGCGGATAAGCCCCTGTCATTAAAAAAGAAGAAAAGAAAAGTAATTCGTATAATTTAGTTTAGGTAAAGTAGTGGTCTTGGAGATAGATTATGTTTTGGAATTAAAAAAAGAAATTATGATCGAAAAAGCCAAAATTGTAATTAACTTTACTGTATAATCATTTGTAAGGTTATGATTATCAATGATATATACGGACAGAAAAAAATGTATGAATGTAGTTCAGATTGAATATACAACATTTTATAAATATTTTTTATTTACAAAACATGTAATTACCATGCTTTTAATTGCTTACCTCGTAAACTGCTCCAAGGGGCATAACTAGGCAGGCAACCATTAAGTCTGCCACGGCCAGCGAAACTATCAAGTAGTTAGCTACATTCTGCAAGTTTCGCTCCAGCAGGATGGCCGCTATCACGAACACGTTTCCTAAAAACAAAAATAAAGTTCACTGCAACGCTTTCATTCAGAATCTTTGAAAATTAAGAAAATCGATTTTATTTTATAAACATGTGGTTGGGGCGGAATTCGCCTTAAACAAGGGGTTCATTTGTTGAACGAAAAGGGATTTCCTTGCGTTTTTTCTCAATTTATTTCAACATCTGCCATCGCGGTTTTTCTAAATCCCCTCGAGTCAAGTGGATTGAACGGATTCTACTTTCAATTTTGTTTCCCTGTTTTCGTCCAACTCTTTCCCTTCCACAACAGTTTGGCAAAGACCATCTGCTGACTGGCGTTTTTCCACCGTTTTCAATATTCGTTCTTTTGTGTGTGTCAGGAACGACTGAAGCGTTGATACCTCAATACAACATTTTATTACTTTCCATAGTATTTCCTCGATTTCCTCCTGTGGTCTGCAGGGTGGCCCAGTAATTTGATCTTTAGTTGATGAATAGAGATATTTGTAATTTATTCTCATTAGATTAATTTTAATTAAATTAACGTATATATTCTTGTTAGTTGGATAAAACAAAATAGAAAATACAAACAAAAAACAAAGAAATGTTAATCAGCATTTTTAAAAACGGATTTATGCAAGAATAGAACACATGATGATTACTCGTTTTGTAAACTAACACCTTTTCTCGTCTTTTCCCAATTTTAATCCAGTTGTATTCTCTTTAATCATGAAAAGACGTCATCTTGAATCATACGTTTGCAATATTATTGTGATGATGAGTCATCTACTGCACCGGCAAGCGGATATCTCAGAGCGCGGTCTCCAGGGATTTTGCCCGATTCTGAGGGACTGAAAGTGCCAATAGGAGGCCTGGTAATCTCTGCGCACTATGACACTAAAGGAGGACAGAAATATTGTCATTGCTGCAAGACGGAACCCTTTTCATAGTGCCCACCCGATCCTCATTGAAGCATAAGATGTTTTGGCAAGTCCCTTCTCTATCAGTTGGCCTCACGTCGATGCCCCTTTGAAACGACCTGCAACAACAGCCCGCCACCAGCAACTCAGGAGAATATGGTGCAGCGAGCGCCTAGAAGAGAACATCACTTGGAATGCTGTTATGCTTACTGATGAGTCGCGTTTCTGCCTGTGCAAGCGCCGAAGAGTCTACACAGGGGATGCGTTCAATGCCCCAATTTGTATCTTCCCTTATACTTCCCTTCTTCGATTACAGCTGTGTGGCATACGGTGGTCTCTCGGAGAGGGAGAACGCGCGATTGAAGCGTATTTTCAATTGTTGCGTATGATTTGTGTACGGCACCCCTCGGGGATCCCGGGTGTCGGGGTTGTATTTCCAACTTTCCTGGCTATTCCCCTCCTTCCGTGCCCAGTATTTCCTAGGTTGCTTTCTTTTCCAGTCCATCCACACTCGTCGTCCTCCTTATATCNATATATATATATATATTATGTTTTAAATTTTAATGTGTTTATTGAAAATTAATTTGGAACTAATCTCACTGTACATATTATATTATTACCATTAATTAAATTTTCCTTCAGTACAAAACATAATAATTTTTAATGCAATTTAAAATAAAATAAAAATGCCATGGAAAGTAACTACTATAAAATTGGCTATATCCCTATTCATTTTTGAGCAGTTTATTATCATGGCCTGCCTACCCTCCTTGGGTTGGTCTGTCAGATGCGTTTCGGCATTTCTCCATCTTCAGTGTGTGTGATTCCACGCGTATTCAGTTTTATTCTAATCTATGACATCCACCGCGTGGCATAGCAAAATGTTACAAATTGATTTGACGACTCATTTCTATAGTATTCCAATTTTTTTTTCGTTATATAAAAGGTTATATCATCACCATGGAATTGAGGCTAATTGTTGTACAAAATTGTTAAAAAAAAAATAAAATCTATAATTCTTGACTAAAAACTTCTTTTTGACCAGCGGAGTTATATAATGCTCAAATTAGAATTTGCTTAATTAAAACGTTATGCCTAAAAATTACCATCCGATAGAGAAATTTACCATAAATCAAAAATCGAATGTAGTAGTGTAGAATGTACATGTAAATGTAGGGGTAAACGACGCGAGCCTGCTCAATAGATTACAGATCTGAATTATTTCCTTTCTTAAAGTCGGCAAAGAAAAGCTTTTTCTACAAATGGGACAAAATCTGATTCTATGATTTTTTACAATAAAAATATTTATTTATCTATCAAAATTTATGATTTTCCACAATACATGATAAGTTTTGTTACAGAAAGTATAAGAATATAAAAATTAAAACAAATGCAAGTAGTAATAAGTATATAATATAACAAAAACATAAATAAACAAAAGAACATGAAGAGGAAACATGCAATATATATTTGGATAATACAAACAATTATCTGAAATTTATTATTATAAAGTGTTACTACACTTCATAATAATGTATTATGTATAGTAACACTAACTCCAAATAATTTTTTAAAAAGCACATTAGATTTAAAAAAATATATTATAGAAAGTTTAGGTATATTAAAAAATTATGCTTTCTATTCTCCATTAACTTGAGTCTTGATTGACCATTGAGCCAATCTCGGGATTAAAATCTTACAATGACTTAAAATCAAGACTCAACACAGCAAAAGCACCGATATGCAAAGAAAACTGCAATACATGCACTTTACGACTTTATAAAAGAGACTGGATTTGGTAAAATCACACAGACACACTGAAGATGACGAAGTGCCGAAATTCGTCTGACACCCCTAGAGAGCGAGGATAGGCAAACCTGATGATCGATAAAGATCAAATTACTTTGCAAATTGTTTTTAATTGTTTATTATTAGGACTGTTTTATATTAATAATTTAAATCATTATAATTAAGATTGCTAATCACGAAAGACATCACAACAAAATATATTCGAGTATAAATTCGGGACATGATTTCTTACTTTATCCTTTGGGTTTTGGACGGTGATTTGTATTTAGCTATCCCTGGTCCTCGAATCCCGAGGGTAGTCGTCCGTTAAGCCTTCCTGTATAACAGGATATACCTTACATATATAACTCCCTCTATCTCCGTCCCTAACCGTCTTTATCACACCATTCTCATTCCTTCTATACGTGAATCATGAATGATAACTTAGCTTGTTGAAAACGTCGGCTGAAATTGAACATTTATTTCGTTGAATTGGTATTTTAATTGATTAAGACAAGATCGAGGCTTAGGGGATTTGAATAACAGACGTTAAATTCGTTACGAGAAAGTTTGCCGCAGCGGCGATCGGTGACATGTTGAAAAGAAGGTTAAAGTTAATTACGGAAGAAGGACGAAGTGCAAGTTGATAAAACATAACAGCGGTTTTTATAAATCTATCGTTATCATCTGTTTGCATGACTTTATAAATATTTTTCTCCAATTAGACTGTACGTAGTTTTCAACTTTTTCAAAAACAGTTTTGTGTCTTTAACTTTACTTATTTGCTTAAGTCCTTCACAATGGTGGTTTTCAAAACGTGAGACTTCTCCCTCTCGGCCGAAACCACAACCGCAGAACCACCCCTAGGAGCAAACGTTCATGCCGCAATTAGTTTAATTGCAACAAGTAATTTGAATACAGTATGACTTCAATTCAATTTTATGGACTATTTGACCATGAAATTTGCATACTAATTATAATTAAAATTAGGATTAAGCAAACAATTGTCAACGGGCTTAACCGAATAAAATTAATAGAACTATAATCCCGTAATTGCTGTTGCGTTGGTGAAATTCATAAAACGATAGTATAGTACACTATAAAAGATTTCATATTTTACTCTTTAAACAATTATATTTGTTCATTGGATAATAGCTTCCCGGCTTAAACAGCATAATTCGAAAAGGAAATTCTAACTATGGTTTTCAACAGGCGGTGCAGTCCGATGATCTTGATACCAATGAACTTTTTTCTATGGAGCTTTTATAGAATAAAGTGTACAGAAAGTTAGAAGAAGGCGTGAAACAAAGAAATTTATCGGCATGCCAAGAAATCGATTCTATCTTCATAGGGGATGCTATAGATAAAAAAATGAATCGAGACGGCTACTCCTTGTTTCCTCAATGGTGGCACATGGATTGAGTAGCTTCTACAGTAATTTAATACATTAAAAAAATAAAATTAATTAAATAAATAAAATTAAATTAAAATATTATAGTAGTAAAAAGAAAAATAATGATTTTTGTTTAATCGTGGGTGGCACTTGCCAATCAGAATTTAGGCTGTTGGAGAGAATCGCCCAAATTCCATTTTTGAAAAAGAAAGAAAAAAGTAGGACCAAGCGAAGAAACAGAGAAATGGCGATTGGTTATTGCCTGATCGCATAGCCCACTATAAAAATGAATAGATGATATCAAAGTACAAAAAAGTAAGCAAATATGGATTAATTTAATAATTAAAAGATATTTACTTAACTAACATCTCCCTGTGGCCATTTCATAATTCGCTGAGAATCGAATCTTGATTACACGACATTTGAAAATATGGAAACAAAGGATAATGTCGAACGGCTGTAGGTTGAGATGAGGAGTTGGTGGTAGAGGGGCTCGAAGTCACGGTAACTCAAGTGGTTAGAGCATCGGCTTGTCGGAAGGTCGTGGGTTCGAATCCCGCCCATGAAAATAATTTTCATCTCAACCAAAAACCTTAGATAAAAATAATAATTTAATTGGTTATTAGTAATGTTCGCCCATTTGTAGTGTAAATCTAGCAGTGTCTTTAACTCACTAGTGGGTTGTTGTTTTTCTTATTTCACAGTCGTTGTATAAACGTTATTGGAATAGGTTGAATTTTCCTAAAATACTTGAAACACATGAAATATATGTTATTTTAATAGTTTCAACCCATATATTTTGTAAATGTCGGTGTGTGACTCACTGTGGGATATCGTTACCAATTTACTTCTTTCCCCTTCGGTGCTATAAGCGTTATTGGAAAGGGTCGAATTTTCGTGTAAGTCGTGAAATCACTATGCGGTAGCACG